CATGCGCTCGCCAGACAGACAGAGAGAGACATAGAGACAGAAAGCGAGAAATCACCCCCCAGGGGGGATGGTCACGCCGCAATCCCTTCTCCTCTCGGGATCTTGGGCACGCACGCACACGCGCCCGGTGTGAGTTTTAAGCCACTGGGTCCAGGACACGAACCGCGGTCGACTACGTGGGAGTCCAGCGACATAGCCATTACGCTAACTGCTGGTTCCCACACCTGGTATATTTTTCAAGCTGCTTGGTCTGGGACTCCAAGCATGGTCGACTGCATGGGAGTCCGGCGACGTAACCATTACACCATCTGCTGGTCCTGACAATTGGCCTCTTACAGACTGAGTTGTGAAGTTCTAGTAAATACAGTTTTGGTGCTCAGGCAAAACTGCCAAACAGCAGCTCTAGACTTGCGAATTTGGGGGTGGGGGGTGTAGTTACAGCCCTGGGTATGAACACGACAGCTTAGAAAGTGTTGAGGACAAACTACAGTCCAAGAAACCCAAGCGACAGGGTGAGCAGTCGAGTCCATAGTAGATGCCTTGTGTGTTGGTGCTGGTTTTGCACGTGTTTAATGAACGGGAGAAAATCAGACTGGAAGAGGGCCCTAGAAGGGGGGAATGTGAACTGCTGTGGAGGCGGAGTATTTTTGCTACTCATTTTACAGCTCTACTGCCCAACTTGATCGGGATCTTACAACCGTGCCTTAGGTCATTCTCCAGTATTGCTTAAAAATGAGCATTGGAAAAACGCAGTTTAAATAAGTCCAAGACGACAAATTCCAGGCTGTTCACCATCACCGCCGTCAGTTTCTTCCTGACTTCAGGAGCTAACTTGTCAAAGAAGAAACAAAACCTAATTGAGTCCTAACCAGTACGTCCTAGGTGGTGTCCTCGAACAGCACACAGCGCTTAGCCACTGGCTGTTGATCTTCGTGACGCGGCTTCCCCAGATCCAGGGAACTCTTGGGCAACTCTTAGAAACTTCATTCTGTGTATTCTTGTCATCTCAGTGCCATGGTATATACGGAAGGGTCAGTAACTGCATAGATTTCATGCGAGCTAGAATCTGATTCATGAGTGGGAGGGAGGCAGGATTAAGAAGTGCCTGCCGAGTGCCCAGGATGGACTCGGCGCCCCTGAGTCCTCAGATAAGCAGAAACTTAACCCCTCACTCCAGCTTGAAGTTTCTGTGGGTTTATACCTGAAACTGGTGGTACGGTTGTCAGCGTGTGAGTTCTGTCGCTGCTCCTTGGTCCTGCCAGAGCACTGATTTCTCCTGTGCACTGGGGGAGGTGGCCCAGAGGATTCTGACAGCTCTCTCTGGTGGGAAGTCAGTGATGGCCAGGGTGTATACGAGGGCCGAGCATTCCTCTGGAAGCCCTCATTGAGACTTGACGTGACGGCTAACCCATACCTACTGCCTGCCCCTTTCCCTTGAGAAGCAGCCAGACCCAGCAGCAAGTCTGGAAGATGGGTTGAACTTGAGCAAATTAAGACATAGAGCAGGTCTTCGCCACTTGAAATGAGGCATTAAATAAACTTAAGCCCCGAATGAAGCAGAAATAAAGTGTTCAGCAGAGAGAGTAGGAGGATGACTAATGGCAAACTTTTACTATTGAGATCAACTTCAGTTTGATGCTGAAAGGGCTTCAGGGATTTGCTGTTGGTCACTACTGAGA